TTCTTTCTTAAGCACAGTACTTATAGTGTACCCAAATCATCATATCATGATACAATCTGGAGCTTTATTGTAATTACAGTAATTAGATAAATGTAGTGGCGTTAAAGAAGCAGCACTGAAGTGAATGTAATGAGTTATTCTATAGCTAATTATATGTATTATACAAGCATTAACTTGTTCAGGGTTTAACAGTTTGTTTACTTCTTCAGGCTTGTGGTATAAGTCTCAGTTTCTCCTAGAGGCTCAGGTGAACCTCTTCGCCGACGATGTATGTCGCAACTATTATGGGAACATGCTCAGTGATAACATGTTTTGTGCGGGACGTCCCGACTGGAGCCAGGATGCCTGCGAGGTATTTACCACAAGTCCTAACTCGATCAGGCTTCCACAGAACCATGTGTTGATTTCCTCTAATGCTGCTGCTCTCTCGCCCACAGGGAGACTCGGGGGGGCCTCTAGTGTGCGAGGTTGGCAGCACGCTCTTCCTGTTTGGAGTCATCAGCTGGGGCGACGGCTGCGCACAGGAGAATCGACCCGGCGTTTACACCACAGTGACCAACTACAACCAATGGATAGAAGAGAAGACGGGGCTGACCTCCATCACTGCTGGCTCCATGTTTCCTCAGAAATTAAAATAGGGACTATTATTAACTGCTATTACTGCTGCTGTTTTCTAATTTTTCTTGGTGGTCTTTATTAAGGACTCTTGCAGTATATGTTTCCCATGAACCAAACCAACAATTCATTCATTTGACTAGCTACTATGGTTGAACTAAAGCCTTAATTTTCTTATTCCTCTGCGCAATAGAGTGGTTTAGTAATGAGTCATAAATCCTGGGAAATCCTTTTTTTGGGAAGCTGTGGCTAGAAGCTTTAAATAAGGTCTGTGGTTAATGTCTTGATGTACGAAATCTAATATGTCAGTAAATACCCCACTTGGGAATATCCGAAGCTTATAAGTGACATGAAAACGGTGGTTGCTAACAACTTCAAGTGACTAATTTAAACGTCATTATGTGGAACAGTAGCCGTCTTTAGCTTAGCGGTGGGGGACACGCAGCCATGCAACTTAGGTGTAGTTCATTTATAGCATTACATTAGCCTAAAGTTGTGTAGAGTTGGAAATCCCTTTGGATTTTTAATCAAGGCAGCACATGCAACGGTAACTTCCGAGTTGGCTGCAAAAATATGTCATCATAGCAGCACTCCATTTTTGTTCAACAACACTAAACACTCCCACATTTTTCCATGTTCAAAATGATATATGACCTAAAATTGTCTAAATCGCGTTACCATACCGACCCCTACGTTATCCGAATGTTAAAAAATATGTTTCACATCCACCAAACGCCTTCAAAGAGTTGATTGAACACTTAGAGCCACTGTACATGCACACGTCATCATCCATAATGTCATCTGATTAGCTCGTTTACTTCCAGCACAAAGCACTTACTTTAGAAAAGTAAGTGAACAGCCATAATGTAAAATGCACATAATGTGTAGTTAAGAGCTACAACGTTTTATAAAGGACAACAACAAGATGTTTTACTCATTTAAGATTATTTTTAAGCTTGATTTTTTATACTGAACTGTAATTTAAATACTGTAAATACAATGCAGCTTGTTCTTTAATGGCAGGACGTTTCATGCTTATATCAAAGTGATTTGGTACTTACTGCATTTAATGGCCAGCTACTTATTTGTATCTTTTATAGAGTAATAATGTACTTTTATATACAGAAATACGATTGACTTTGTTTGAATATATTGTTTCTTGTTCATATTTTTTCAGTTTACATTTTAAGGGATTTTTTTAAGCGTAGCCCATCGTATTGCACTTCCAAGAGGTTATACAATAGTGTTACATTGTGTATTAATTATACTACCAACTTGTAATTCATGCTGATTGTTCTGTAAGCTATTTGAATATCCACCAGCTAATACGTTTTAGGAACTACTGAGTTATTGTATTCTTTATGTTGCCTACTTTTGTAAATGTTTTATATCTTGTGTATTTTACACCAGATTGTAAATAACTGTTAATCACTTGCTGTAATATAAATAAAGATAATATTCTGTTAAAGTAACACAAATGATGATGTTTGCTGTGGCTCATTCTCTCTGCTCCCTGATTGATGCTCATGCTCAGCAGATTCACTTGGGGCCTATACTACGAATCAGGATTTTCGTTTAGCAAGCTAACTTCTGGGATTTCCGGTAACGTCGGAGTCGCCTTAACAGACTCATTTTGGAGCAATAACGCAGCAATATCCTCCAGGTCCCAACAAAAGGGGTTACAATACGCTATGGAGGCTCATATCCACAGTATAAACATTAGAAAAGAGGGAGGCACAACATCAATAGAGGCACTTGCATACAGGTCGCAGTGCAAGAGTGAAAAACCACATGAGCTGTATGTCAAATTCGACGGAATTATTATTATTATTTTGGAATAAAACAATACAATCACAAGAGGCATTAAATGTTGTAGTTTGTCTAAAGTTAACTACCGTTTCCTTGGTGGCTTTCTGCATCCACCTTGTTGTTCCTTTGTGGGGGTCGGGGTGCCCACTTGTGCAGCAGGATTAGGGAAGTCGGCAGTAGGCTTTCCATTAACAAAATGCTACAAAGATTAAAGCAAAAATATAAATGAATGATTGCCTGTTGGCTTTCTTGTTTGTACTTTGACCACAGGTAGACTAATAACGGAGCTCAGCTGTTCAGACATTATTATGCATCAAGTGATATACATGGTCAAAACGACCTAGAAGCACACAGCTTACAGCTGTAATCGTGTGACTTTAGCTAACGTTAGTTAGTGAAATTAGTTAATTAAATTAG